AAAAAAAAAAAACAACCCAAACCCATTGCTGTGGAGTCAATTCCGACTCATGATAACCCTGTGTTCCAGAGCAGAACTGCTCCATAGGGTTTTCTTGGCAGTAATCTTTATGGAAACATTTCCAGGCCTTTCTTCTGTAGTGCCACTCACGGACCTCAGGCTCCATACCTAGTAGGTATTCAACAAATAATTGTTGAATAAACAGATGTATGGACCAGCTTCGATGCTGCCTTTCCCTCCGTTTTGAGAACAGTTCTAATCTGGAGGTAAACATTGCTGGTGCTTTTGCCCTGAGGTGCTGAGCCCCTGCACACTCTTACAAAATATGTCTTAGCACAGTTGCAGGGTGTTTATTGCCCTCACAGATGGCTCCCTCTGTAGTGGTATTTTACTTGAGGCCACTTCCATGTTGCTCTAGGGAAGCTTTCGCTATCGGGGGAGTCTTACCGACAGACAGGGAAGAGGGGTACCTGCTGGATGTTACCTAGCATCTCTAGACATTGGCTAGAAACTGCCTTTAGTTGGTAAGGGTTAGGGGAAACCTACCTTTGCTGCCCCAGTTTTTAACTTTTGGGGCAAATTGTGATGTCAAGCTCTTCCTGGAAGGATAAAGTACCCTCTTCAACACATTCTCTTTTAGGCTACCAACAGCCTGGGTCTTTCTCAGAAGAGGTGCGTTTCTGAAGGGGGAGATGGCATGCCCTCTGGCCTTCCCTTGATTTTCAACCCCAGCCCCAAGGCACTGGCAATAGAAGCTTATTGGGTGCAAGGGGCCTGGGTAAAGGCTGTCTGAAGCCTGGCGAAAGGAAAAAGCAAGCTCCTTTTAAAAAAAGCGCTAATTGAATTCTGAATCAGCCTCACTCCCTTTGATCTCTCCTCTGTTTCCCACACTGCCTGAAAGAGCTAGATCAGCACTTTATAACAAGGGTGCGCCTGCTCCCTGCTCCGGCCCTCCCTTTCCTGACGCTCTCTGCTGCCGCCATCCTCTGCTTGTCTCCTTCAGTTAAGATAATGAAGATGCTGAGAGATAAAATGTGTATTTAATAAGGGTGGGGGTAGGCAGGCAGAAAGGGGCTGCCAGGGCCTTCTCTAGTTTGGGGCCTAGCCAAGACTCAAGCTGAAAGCAAAGCTAGAGTAAGACTTGGCCCCAGGGTGTGGGGGTTTCTGGGCCTCAGTCCAGCTGACTTCACTGCCTGCTGTTTGCCCTAAATTCCCCCACCTCCACCCTCTCACCCCCACACTCTTTTCTTTCCTCTCTTCCTCCCAATGGGAAAAGGGACTCTTGCTCCAACTTTATTTTCAGCTGGTAACTTGGCCTTTCCTGTGGTGCCCCCCACCCCAGAGTCAGCTGCAAGGTCAGGCTAGGGCAGCCCCCTCTAGCCTAGGCCTGTAGAAGCTGTGGGTTCACAGTGGGGAGTGAAAAAGCTGGAGTTAATGAAGACCAGCTGCTAGTCTGGGCTCTGCCTACAGCTAGCTGTAGGCCAGGCTTTGGTGGTGGTTAGAGGTACAGGGTGTGTGACCTCCATCCCTGGGCACAAGGATATCCTGTGGCAGCTGAAGCTTGTGCTTTTTGAGAGCTTGGTTTTATCCTTAGTTTGTAAGAGAGTTGTCTGTTTCCTTCTTCCCCTACTCCTCCCCTCCCCAGATAACACTCAACCCTTACAGAGCTTTATAACAGTAGTGGTGGCCCAGCTGAGATCTGAGGATCTCCAAGCCCTTTTGTAAACACTCATTAAGTCTGCCTGGGAAGAACCAAGAGCCCTGTTTAACAGCTGGGAGAGAATTGAGGCACATTGGGGTGAATGGCTTGACCTGAGCTCACCCCATGGACTCCACTCTGGGGCTCTCCATCCTTACTACCTAGCTCCTTTCCCCAGTTCTTCCTGCAGACAAAGAGGCAATGCTATTGCCCTCTCCCCTTCTAAGAAGCAGCCTGGCTCTCTCCCTTCCCTCAAGTCTGTCCCTGAGTTCCCCTGGCCCTTCACCCCATGACATTTCCCCAGCTCTGCTGCTGGAGAAATGCAACTCTCCTTGCAAAATGTTCTCAGTACACCTCTCTGCAGACTTCCATCCATCTTTACCTGGCCCACCAAATCTGTGTTCTCTCGTTTGAGCTACTGAGAAGATTGGCTATCCTAAACTGTGAAGTTGATCTGATTGTATTAAGCAACCCCCCTGCCCAAAGGGGTACCTGCGAAAATCTTGCCTTTCTTTTACTTGTTCATTCTGGTAAAGATTAAGGACCCCATTGAGGGCTGGGTAGGGATACTAATTGACCTCTAAGTTCTGCATCTTGTTCTTTTGTTGACAGTTGCTATTTCTGGTAATGGGTGGAACCCAAAGTACTTTTATTTTTTTCTCCCCTCTCCCCCAGCCCCACCTGATGATACCCTCATTTGTATATGGATATTTACACCCCCCCCACCACCCCGGGCGCTGCACACACACATACACAGACACACACACCCTCTAAGGTATAAAGTTCTACTAGTTTCTAACTGCCATTCAAGCCATCCTGCCCCCTTTAATTG